GCCATGTCGGTGTTAATGGGCTCCGCTTATCGGGTTTTGATTCCTTGTGCAAACTGAGCCTTGGTTTTTCGGTTTAAAGCAAAATTATCCCGATAAAATTGTTAAGATTTCTTTGAACTATAGAAAAACGGCAATTTTTCTTCGATTTTGGGAGCTGCAGGGAGAGGGGGCGGGGGGGGGGGGTATTCGCCCAAAATGCCCACCCTGGATCGACCAGCGAGGTTTTGTGTTTTGGGTCGGACCCCCCCCCCCCAATCCCCAAAAACCGTGGCGCAGCCTCTGGTGTAACGCTCTTATAGTAGGTGAATACCACCGCTGAAAGTTTTGCAACATGTTGCAAGAGCTCGGAAGGACGTATTCTAATGAACAAACGAATAGGAAATTAATATTCAGCTCCTAAAACTAACCAAAAATATGTAATTAAAAAAGTCAGCCCAGGAGGGCAACGATCAATGCACTTGACCTGACCCTGTATGTGACCTTGATACCTGCCGTAGTCCATGGCACAAACATAACGTTCTAGGTTGGCACGTTTCTATTCCCAAAAAGTCAGGTAGTGGTAGCGCATGATGTACAGTGGGTCTATTTAAGATCTCCAGAGCCACCACGTGGCGCTACGGTCGGGGTAGGGCGAGTCCAAATCCCGAGGGAAGTGAGGTCACCGGTCATTGTGGGGGAAGGAGGGAGGGGGAGTGACGCAGTATCACGGCGCATGGGGCGCGCGTAGCGCCGGGAGTGGGCGCCCAGGGCCGCCCGCCACCGCGCCGAGGCTGAGGGGAGGGGATGATGGTTGCGGGTGCGTTCACTCCGGTATGGTGGTATCCTGTTCATGTAGAACCGGCAAGAATGCGACTGAAGGGAATCATTATCTCAAACAAACGGGCAAGCCAGAGGCAGCGTCTGCAGTTCCAGCCAAAATGTTGAACAATGATAATTGAAATCTAGGACGTATTCATAGCATGCAACTATTCAATCGATAGTTGCATGATGTTTTTCATCATGTATGATGAGGCTTTTCTAAACTGTTATTTGAGTTAGATATTTTTTATTTGGCACGTTCAGTTTTGGTGGGTTTTATCGGATCGAAAAAAAACACAAAAGAAAAAAAGTTGAAATGGCTCCAGACAAATGACCAAAAACATTTTCTTAAAAGATGAAACCTAGCTAAACATTTATAAGCGATAATTTTGACTTTTGGAGAGGATATTGGGGAAAGATGTCATCGTGCTTATCTGTGTTGCAGTAGAAGGAAAGGTTTTAGTTCGTGTCTAGTGTCTAGATAAAACCAGACCCGGGAGTGGGGCTCGAACTCACGACATCGCATTCAGCTCACACGTTACCCAACCTCAACGCTACGAGCACCTATCGCCCTACGCAGATTGCTTAGTGTTTCGGCTAAAGTTTGGCCAAAGTGTCTGACGGCTGTCAATGTCACGAGGCGAAACCCCAAAATGAATGTCCGTCCCGGTAGCTCAGTCGGTAGAGCGTTGGACTCCATGTGCCATGTGGTGAGAGCGCACGTCCCGGTTGCAAAAGTCCGGGTTCGAAACGCGACGTGTGCTTGACGTTTTTGAGCGGCTCCTGACGGGTATGCTAGTGGTTGGTGGCAGGCCGCTGCCAGGCGAAGTCAGTGAGGGGACGGGCCGTGCGCGGCTATGTGCGCACGTCAAAATTTGGGCTCTAAATTCTGACATAGACCAGGAATTGCTTGATCGGAGGGAACGCAACAAGCTCAGCTTAGCGGGGACTTTGTCCTTGTGCTTCCTTTCTTTCAAAAGGTTCGGGCCAAATCTATATTAAAAAAGGGGGCCGAACCAGGTTGGGCCGGGTTGAACCCGGTTGGACCGGTGTCTTACACGTAATCATGGTCAAACAAAACAGAGGCTAATTTCGGGTCAAATATTTTTATTAACTGATCTTATTGTTTTTAGCTTACACGTATAATAACTTTTAGCTTTTTTAACTCCATACTTCATGCACAAAAATGTGGTATTCGTCCGCTTTTCCTCATCTTCTCGCGACTTGATTTGACCTTAAAGGCCCATCTAACCAGAAAAAAAAAATCACCCGCGTGATAATTATTTGCCAAAGGGCGCTCTACACATGAAACGTCAGCCGGTCAAAAAAACTGGCGAACGATACGATCTTTCTATTGCTTGAATTATATTCGTTGAAAATTTCAGGAGACATAAATAATCTTAATCCTTATAGCTATTGGGCGCCCGGAGCATTCGCTAGCATTCCATTGCCAGCTGCATTACCAACATCACATTTGCATTACTTTGGGTTCACCATGGTTGACAGTAGATGAGCCGGCCACAGCAAACCCATGCCTCATTATCCTTTCCTTCCAGGCAGCCAACTGCCAAGCTAACCGGCCGCCCGGCCCGCGACCGCGATATGGAACAACGCTGGAGTGCGCCAATTTGCCTGCGGCAGTGCCCCTTCGCGCCGGGGCTGTTTGACAGGTCACCCGCACCGTGACCTCGCCTTCCCCCCCCCCCCGCCCACCTCCCCATCGGGCCCAGCTCGGTAGTGACCTCTCCTTGAATCTCACATGGACTCGACTGAGGCTCAACGCCATCTAGTTGCGTCTGGAGATCCTTACTAGATCCACTGTACATACGTCGGACCTACAAATTTCAGTTCATTCTCTTTCGTTTGAGGCGTCATTTGCCTTAATCGGTGGCATAGCAAGATCACACGACAAAAATAAAAAAGCTTCAAGACTTCTGGGACACCCTTTATAATGGTGAGGTCACGAAAATGACCTGACCTCATATGACCTTTAGGAAAAATCCGAGACATACAAGTTGTGAGACTCGTAATGGATACTAGATCCAGCAAGTTTCATTTCCCTGTGAAACCTCCTCTGGCAGTGAGGGCGTTGCGAAGTTGCGACGTCAGAAGACCGTGCAGAGGTTCACTTATGACGTCATAGGTCAGTGACCTACCCTGACCCGAAAATGCGGTTGGTGTCAAAAGATTCGGCTTGAATCAAAAATCAGGTATGCCAAGTGTCAGCTCTCTATCTCCAGCGTGTTCTGAGCTATCGCGAAAAAACCCTATGGGGGGGGGGGGGGGGCGGGCGGCACCCGTGATCTACAGAGCCTCCCCTCCTATCTCCGAAGCAGCTCGGCTGATTGTCAAAATTCAAATAACGACTGATAGCCATGAACAAATTGTCTTGTTTCAAATAAATGCATCTGGTACTATTCATATAATTGTCTTGTGAAACCTAATTTCATTGACCTTCATTGACACCGATGACGTCACAAGTCAGGTCAAAGTAAAAATCATCAATAGTTTTGTTTGTTCACCATTTAGGCTCTGACCGCCGGCTGCCTCGCCAGACCAGGCTCGTTGATTTTATTTACATACTCGTTGATATATGCCTAAGATACCCTGAGGTACTTAGGACTTGTCATGTCAAGGTCAGGTCACCATAGGTCACGTAAATTCTATATGTCTTCCCGCAGACGTCCTGCAACTCGTCAGCGCGCCTTGTGGCAGGCCTACTGTCGGCAATGCGGTAGCGAAGTGGCTGTCCGGAAGCTGCGACCGGAACGGGGGGTGCGCAGACCGTCTGGTCAGGCACTGCCAGCTGCCTAGGGACATCGAGGCCGCAAATGAGCCGGTGCCTAACGGTCCGCCGAGTGATCCTCCCAGCGAGGGTTAGTGAAGAAGTGAACTTCCACCAGTTCTGACGTGCTAGCGGCTAGCGCTAGAGCCGGTAGAACCCAATTCCGTCCCACGCCCCCATGGGGGCGCCCCTGGGCCCCATGCCCCATCACCGATGCCGCCGCTGTCGTTTTTTTGTTGTTGTTGTAAATTGACCTGTGTGATGTATTGAAATATACACTTCTTACATGCCTTTTTTACAAGTCTAGAGAACGGGAAGAGAGCGTCGGAAACACATTCTGAGGAGGTTGCGAACACGTTGATTGAGAGGACGTTGCGAAAATGTTTAGGACGTTTACTCAGGGTCGCAGGGACGGCAATACGAAGTAGCGACAACGTGGTGCGCACGTGATAAAAACGTCGCAGAGACGTTGCCAAAGCGTTCTTTACTCCTTGTAGTCACGTTGCGGAAACGTGGTGACAACGTTCCAGAACACTGTTGGCACGTTACAGAAAACATTTCATAACGTTGGCGGGACGTTGTAAGAACTGTTTTGGGACGTCACGGCCACGTTACAGAAACGTTGTGATGACATTCAAATGCATGGTCGGACGACGTTGTCACGCCGTTGTCTGGAGTCTACAAAATAACGTTGTCACAACGATAAATCGGAACGTTGTGGTAACCATTTGACAACGTTTAAACGACGTTGTAACAACGGCAAATTGTTAGCTGGGTATGTAGGTATAGGTATCTAATCAGATAATATAAACTGTTGTATCTTGAGACACTGTTAAACCGGGTGCGGTATATTTTACTTTAGCAACAGCACCATACCGACGGCTGGCTCAGCGGTGACCGATCGACTCCCCCGACCCACCGGCCAGCACGACGCGGCCCTGACCGTCTGGCACGATCACGTGACCGACCGATCAACGGTCAGCCAATCACAAAGCGAGACGCCAGACAGTGAGACACCAGACAGCGAGACGCCAGACCAAACTGGGCGGGTACCCGCGCACTGGGGATGGGTAACCGCTCCGGAATGTTCCCAGCACACAACACCCTCCCATTTAAATTAAGAGCAATTAAACAACACCAACTTGCAATTAAACAAGACCAACTTCGAAAGATACATTATGGCCTCTAGTAGCGCACCGCAGGCCGTCTATTTCTAAGCGGGTATCGTCGTGGAGCGTCAGCGTCAACGCCCATCTGCCTGGGGACATTCGCGCTCACGGACGGACGCTCCGGCGATGGTTCACCAGATAGTGAGCCGCGGTCGAATCGCGGCGGGGAGTATCGAGGGGAGACGACACCGGGCTGCACTCGCTGTAGCGCAGCATCTGGCACGTGATGCTCCGGGAAGGCGCGACCGGCGCTCTCTTCTCGTCTCAGTGTCGACGGCCGAGCAGGAGAGGTCGACCCGGTGCCGTTGATGGCCGACTCCAGACGCTCAGCAGGCGGTTCAGCTGGCTCCGCAGCAGCAGCAGGAGCAGTAGCGGAACGGCCGGCCAGACGATCGGGGACATCGGCGCCGCAGATGTCGCCACCGTGCTCCAGCTCCTCAGCAGTCTCCAGACTGGGCGCCGATGCAGCCTGTGAGTACAATTGATTGATGTGACGCTTGTGTACCTGCCCATTGGACATCCGGACCCAGTACAGAGGATGACGATTTTTGACAACAATAGCAGGGCACCACACAGCCTTCTCTCTGCCGAATTTCCGAGCCCACACAGTTTGACCAACAACAAACGCAGGCCTCACTCGAGTATGCCTTCTTTTGTGACTTTCTACCAAGTTCTCCTGTTTCCTGATCACGTTACCTTGAAGGTCCGGCTTCAGTTTATCGAACCTGGTGACCGGCTTGTATCCGATGAGCAGCTTGCCAGGAGACTCCCCGGTCGTTGCATGCGGCGTCGCCCTGTACAAGAAAAGCCATTTAGACACAGCCTCCTCAGCACATACGTCAGTCAATCTGTCAAGCCGTACCTTGAGCTCTCGGACAGCACGTTCAGCCAAGCCATTCGAAGCGGGAGAATAAGGGGCTATCGTGCGATGCTGAATGCTGTTCCTGTTCAAAAACTCTTGGAATTCTGAGCTAATGAATGTTGGGGCATTGTCTGTGACAATGACGTCGGGCAGACCGAAACGCGCGAATATTGAAGTCAGTTTCTTGATCGTGGTACGTGCATCAATGGAACTCATGATCTCTACCTCGATCCATTTTGAAAAGGCATCACAGACAACCATGTAATACCTGCCCTTCCTCGGGCCGGCAAAGTCAATGTGCAGTCTGGACCAGGCCTTCACTGGATATTGCCACGGATGGAGCTCTTCTTTAGGAGGATCTGGACTCTGGGATCTGCATACAAAACATGATGCGGCTAGCTCCTCGATATTTCGGTCAATCCCAGGCCACCAAACTGTTGTTCTAGCCAAAGCCTTCATTTTGACTACCCCGAAGTGACAACTGTGGAGTTCTTCCAGGACAGACTTTCGAGCCGCCTCAGGTATGACCACTCTTGTTCCCCACATTACACAGCCTCCGATCATGTAGAGCTCAGTCTGTCTATCTGCATAGGGTTTCAGATCAGAGCTCACGTTCTGTGACCATCCCATTCGAATACAATGGATGACCTTGCTGAGAACAGGATCCCTGTTCGTCAGTTTTTCTACTTTAGGGGCACTCAGAATGTTGGCCTCTTCAAGGTAATTGATGAGTAAGACATCCTCTTCCTCAGGAGGGATGTGACTCTGCCCTACTGACTGTGTCATTCGGCTCAGACCATCAGCGTGAGCAATGTCATTTGTTGACTTGTATCTGATCGTATAGGTATACTGGGAAAGCTTCAGCGCCCAGCGTTTGATTCTGGCGCTTGTCATCTCTGGCATGCCGCTGTTCTCTCCAAAGAGCTTGATAAGAGGCTTGTGATCTGTGACCAGTTCAAATTTTGCCCCATATAAGTAGTCACGGAAGGCGGTGACACCAAATATGATAGCTAGGGACTCTCTTTCGATTTGACTGTACTGTTTTTCTGCTGTCTGTAGCGTCCTAGACGCATACCCTATCGGCCTCTCAGACCCATCTGGAAACGCATGTGAGAGCACAGCTCCGATCCCACGAGCGGAGGCGTCACAGGTGAGGACTAGTGGGAGGTCAGGATCGAAATGAACCAGGAGTTGATTAGACGTGAGCAGCCGTTTGCATTCCTCGAAAGCCCTTTGATGCTCTTGTTCCCAGGACCACGGTGTACTCTTTTTGAGGAGCTCAAAGAGCGGGTGTAGCGTTTGGGCTCTGCTGGGGATGAACCGGGAGTAATAATTGACGATGCCGAGAAACGACTTCAGCTCAGAGACATTTGTGGGAGGAGGCGACTGAGTTATGGCTCGAACCTTAGCCTCCGTGGTACTAAGGCCATCTTTGTCGACGACATGACCAAGATACTCAACGCGGGGGACCAAGAAGTGGCACTTGTCCGGTCTCACCCGAAGTCCGGAGTCCTGGAGTCGTTGCAGCACTTTCTCCAGACGGGACACGAGCTCGTCTTCAGCCCGTCCAGAGACCAGGATGTCGTCGAGGAAGATGAAGACTCCTGGCACGCCAGCCAGCAGCTTTTCCATTTCACGCTGAAAGATTCCCACAGCTGAGTTTATCCCGTACGGTAGCCGCAGGTAACGATACAGTCCACGGTGAGTGTTGATTGTCAGCAAGTGTCTGTGCTCCTCTGCTACTTTCAACTGTTGATATGCACGGCTTAAGTCTAGCTTGGCAAACACCTTTCCCCCAGCCAGTTGGGCAAACATGTCCTGGACCTTGGGCAGGGGGTGTCTGTCTACTCGAATGGCTTTGTTAGCTGTCTGTTTGAAGTTTCCGCATATGCGGATTTTACCGTCGGGCTTCACTATCGGGACGATTTGGCACGCCCAGTCCGCAGTGCGCACTGGCTCGAGGATCCCAGCCTCGACCTCTGCGTCCAGCTGCTCCTCCACGCGTTTCCTGAAGGCATAGGGAATGTTCCGTGGACGATAGAAACATGGTTTTGCATCCTCATTGACGTCAAACTTCACCTCCACGTCTTTCAGGCACCCTAGATCAGCAGAAAACACATCACGGTACTTTTTCTGCAGCTCTGCACCCATTGACTGTCCCCGCCCAGGATCACCTCTGACCTGTTTGATGGTTTGCCAGTCGAGCTGAAGGAACTTCATCCAGTCCCTTCCCAGAAGATTGGGTCCTGCAGTGTCGACCACGACGACGGGAAGCTCCAGGTGCTGCTCACCGTAATGAATGACGGCACTGAACTCCCCTTCGACCGGGATGGGCTCACCCGTGTACGTCCGAAGCCTGGCGCTGCATCGCCGAAGTTCAAGGCTGTCGTCGCCGCCTGTAGTCTTCACCACCTCGAAGGTGCGGGCATTCATCAGCGTGGATGCCGATCCTGTGTCAACCTCAAAGGTAACGGGCACACCGAACACTACGACGTCAACTGTGATTGGAGGGGACCTTGCTTCACCCACAGTGTACACGCTGCAAACATTATCCTCTTCAGCATCCTGACTAGGCTCTGATACTCTGACAGACTCATCAGTCAATACACAGTGTGTAGATTTCGCTTGCGAGGCGCGCACATGATCTTGATCATTTTTGCGACATTTGCGACTTAAGTGACCCTGCTCGCCACATGAATGACACTTGTACGTCTTAAAACGGCATGTTTGAGGTGAATGATTAGTGCCTCCGCAGCGGAAACATTCCGATCTGACATACCGATTGGATGGTGACCCTTTCACCTGTCGTGCAGATCCAACTCGGTGAACGTCCTGCGCCACTGGATCGGATGACTGGGCAGCCAGCTGTCTTGCGCTTTTCGTCGCCGTCTCTGCTGCCAGTGCGATCCGCTGCGCCTGTTGGAACGTCAGAGTATCTTCCTCGGTCAACAACCTCTTCTGCAACGCCTGATCAGCGAGTCCACACACAAATCTGTCGCGTAACATGTCATCTCTACTTGATCCAAAGTCGCATGGATCGGCCATGACTTTCAAGTCAGCCACAAACTCCTTTATCCCCTGTTCTGATCCTTGACATTTCTGATGGAACCGGAAACGGCTAACGATAACAGACTGCTTCGGATCCACATGATCTTGCACGGCCATGACAATATCTCTATATGACATCTCAGAGGATCGGGCGGGTGCCAGAATGGTTTTGACTCTTTGATACGCAGTTTGCCCAATGCCAGCCAAGAGAAGTGCTCTCCTTCTATCATCCTCTGAAATGCCCTGAGCCTCGCAAAAGAACTCAAATCGTTCAATGTAATCCCTCCAGGTACCTTGACGTTCATCAAATTCGCCAATGGCGGACGTGAGACATACCGTGGGCTGGTGCATTGTTGAGATACCTGTTGCCGGCTTCCTCTCATCTGAATCACTCATCTTGCCGTGGGATCTCATCCTCGTCGCCACTGTTGTATCTTGAGACACTGTTAAACCGGGTGCGGTATATTTTACTTTAGCAACAGCACCATACCGACGGCTGGCTCAGCGGTGACCGATCGACTCCCCCGACCCACCGGCCAGCACGACGCGGCCCTGACCGTCTGGCACGATCACGTGACCGACCGATCAACGGTCAGCCAATCACAAAGCGAGACGCCAGACAGTGAGACACCAGACAGTGAGACGCCAGACCAAACTGGGCGGGTACCCGCGCACTGGGGATGGGTAACCGCTCCGGAATGTTCCCAGCACACAACAATAATAGGCGCAAACATTCATTTTATTGTCAGACTCGCCAATTCCTCTGCCAGAGTCTGTCTTTAAAAAAGTCGTGTCATGGCAATTGCAACAAGCGCTGCTTAGCAGGCCACCCTATTCAGTCATTCGGACAAAATTTCTGTAAAAAGTACGTTTCATCATTTGACTTAGGACAAAGCATGTCAGCTGTCACAATTAAAAATCCGTTAATAACGCTACCATATTTTCCAAATATTGCGTATGAATTATGATTGTTGCAAGTTGTAATCGTACTATACCTATTCCGGCCCGCCGGCTGGTTGCAAATCTCATATCCGGCCTGCACCCAGAACAGGTTGCCGACCCCTGAATCATCTGTATGTGTTCTACCACATGTATTCGGGTTTTTATGAAAGGTCAAAAGTTATAGGGGAAATTTTCAAAATAGCAATAATAATATTTTATACGTTTAATTTTCTAAATTAAAAAATGAAAATATGAGACAGTATTTTGATAGCCATGTATATTTTTAGTCCTATCATGCAAAGGAATTGGATCTAGCTCAGAAACTGAGCTCCTTAGATTAATTACCGTAGTTCAATGGTTTGCATTTAAATCGGCCGAACATGACGTCATTCTGACGCCGTTTACAGCCGACCTATGGTAGCTACGAAATTTTTATTTGAATAAAAGGTGCCAAATTGATTCAGCCAAAAGTATTGCAAGTTTCGGTTTGACACCTCGAGTGGGTTAGAAGATATTGCAGAAAAATGAGAGATGGGTCTATGTACAGCCGCCGCCTCCCCAGTCGTGTGCGCGTTAACCCGCGCCCCGTTGGGCTCTGCCGAGCAACGCGCCCTGTTGAGGGGAGGGGGGCAATTTGCCCCCCCCCCCTAAGATCTCGAGAACCACGCAACATAGCGACAAGCGGCAAACGGTGTTGGATAGCCGTATCAGGGAACTACCTTGTGACCCAATTTTATTGACCTAGGTCAAACCGATGACGTCACAGGTCAGGTCAAAGATAGAATATTCACCGTTTACAGGCATCTCAAGAAATGCGTTGTAAAATCGAGTAAAATGCATTTCATTGAAAATCATCGATGGGGAAATGTTCTTCAAACACATATTTTGCTATTTGAGGTCACTGATACCAGGTCAGGTCACAGAGGTCAGGTCACTGAGGGTCACAATATGAAAATATCATGTGATGCATGTATTATGGTCCATTTTATATGTCAAATGCGATTATGTGGGTCAGGCAGCCGCTGGGGTCAGTTAAGATTATGTTCTGGTGAAGGTCAGGTCAAGGTCAGGTCAAGGTCAGGTCAAATTCCAAAGTTGATATTTTTGCATAAAATGGGTATCGATTCGATGCAACTCGTCACCGGGAGTTCAATGGTGGTCTTTGTTTTGCCCTACGTGGTCTAGAATCGCTAAAAATTGAGTTCAAAAATTTGACGTCATCATTTTTGAACAGTTTTTTCGCGATAACTTGAACAAAAAACGAGATATCTATGTGAAATTTGGTATGTATATAGAAGAGCGCAGAGACTATCACATAAATTCCGGTTTTTTCAAAATTCGGAATTTTTTGGATTTATTTGAGTTTTTCTTAAAAAATCATTATTTTGAATTTTGGGGATCAAAAACCCAAAATTTTGAAAATTCGAGATGGCGGTTTTGTAGCACCGGATTTTGTCTACTAGACCATATAAAGAACTTTGAAATTGCTTGGTAACTGTAGATTTGGTGAGCGTTTCAAGATTGCATGTTTTTTGCTCATTTTTGCTCGAACATGACCTCAGTTTGACCTCAATAACTCTTGACCTAAGGTGAACTAAGACTTGAAATTTGATGTGAAGGTGTCAAATTGATGCCCGGGAAGGTACTGAAAATTTGGTGGCGCTGCGCGCCGCCGTTTTCTTGCTATTAAGGAAAAACCACAGGGGGGCAAATTGCCCCCCCCCCCCAACGGGGCGAGGGTTAATGGGTATGGTAAACGTGTTTAAAGCAATGCAAGAAACGTCATTTGATAGTGGCGGCAAGGCTGGCACCAATTCGCACTAGCAGGACATGGGCTAGGGATAGGGAGGTTGTGTTGCATAACCCGCGCCCCACTGGGGGGGGGGGCTATTCATAGCCCCGTCCCGTTTTTCTGCAATAACTTCCAAACCGCTTGATGGATCGACGCTAAACTTTTAGTACCTTCGGCTGCATCAATTTGACACCTTGTGTCAAAATATGAACTTCGTAGCTAACATAGGTCGCCCGGAAATGACGTCAGGGTGACGTCATGTTCGGCCGATTTCGGCGCAAAACATTGAACCACGGCAATCGCTCCCAAGAGCTCAGTTTTTAAGCTAGATCCAATTTCTTTGCATGGTAGGACTCATAATAGACTGCGCTATCAAACTGCCATCTCGGATTTTCAAAATTGTGAAATTTTTGAAAATTATATATAATAAAATTCAAAAATCATATTTTTATATTTTTTTCCAAAAACTTTTTGATGTTTCAAAAAACCGGAATATATGCGATAGAACACATGCTTATGAGTTACTCTAGCAAGTTTTATCTAAATATCTTCAAAAAGGACCAAGTTATACGCATTATTGCAAAAAATTCACAATTATAAATTTTTTTAATCAATTCTTCAGCACCTTTTGACATCATACACCAAGAAAATAGCATCATCGTGTTCCTGAGCTCAAACTGCATCCAATAGACACCTTTTTTGTTCAAAAATTCTAACTTCAAAATTTGACCTTTTTTGACCTGAAAGTGACCTGACCTAAGCTAAATTCAGCTCAAAATGACCTCGAATGACACAAACGACATCAAATTCGAAATCTATGGCCTAAATGGACCATAAAACATGTGTCACGTGACTGACGCATGATATAATATTTCCGTGACCTACTATGCATTTCAGACCCCATGAGACCCTGTTTTTCGGCGATAATTTATTTAATATTTATCCAATTGGCTTCAAATTTTCGCAAAGCACATTTCAGTTCAAGCGCCAATTTTCGCTAATATGGTCTCTTAACAAAATATCAATTGTTAGGGTACTTGCCGTTGCCTCGTAATGTTAAAATCAGCTCCGTAAATCCGTCAGTGGTGTAGAGGCTATCCGTACGTAGGCGTGACGTCACAGGCACGTGACCATTAAGCTCCGCCCTCCCGGCGGACGGAGCGGTGACCTTGGCCGGTCAGTCGGATGCGTGGAGCCGACGGGGCAGTAGCTGCCGGACCCAAGGCCGTATGCCGGACCGGGCGGCTCGCATTGGACGTGGCTGCCTTGCGGTTGCCGTTGCAGTAATAACGCTACAGCAGAAACTAGCGCTCGTAATAAGCGCACTTGCACTAGCCTTCGTTATTGCATTTATCGCAAATTAGCCTACACCATGTCAATCAATAAAGATATTGCGTAAGTTACAAGTTCAGTACAGGGTGTCCCATAAGTTCGTTCTCACCTTTTATTTGCATGTAAAACATAGTACATTGCGTTTTGATATGTTTATAACCCCTCAATGTGCTCCCCATTTCATAGGCAAACACATGAATACATGCTGCGACATGCCAACCGGCATGTTTGGCAGCATAGCAGGCTTGAAGTTAGCGCAGACTGACTTGGCATGCGCCGTGAGCTCCTCAATGCTGGAACACCGCTTCGCTTCGACGAGCCTCGATTTCAATATTCCCAACACATTTTTATGAAATTTGGATCCGATGAGTTGCCTGGGATGTGATCTTGCCACACACGCCTATCACAGTCTCCTGGCACTGCTTTTATGCTTTGCTTGACCTCTGCACTGATGCACTGTCTTGCTTGACGATGGGCCTACGACCTCCCGGATGCCATTTTCTACTAAAAAATGTGGTCATACTTGCGGTTCAAGTTAAGCTAGAAAGCTGAAACTCCTCCTAGATCTTCTTGGAGAAG